TACATGCTGCAGTGTCACGATTCGACTCCCGCTGGGGGTGTTGATAAGCTTTATGCAGTCAAACCCTGAGTATGAGCGACTTTTAGCGAAGCAAGGCTATGTGAAATTCAATGGAATTGTCTGTTCTACTCATATCATTGTGGGAAAATTCTACTACCAGTCTTTCATCACCTTAAACGAAATGTAGGGAATACATCTCATTTTAATATATTTTATCAATTCTTGCGGAAGCCTTAGAATAAGAGTATGGCCACTGAACTTGAGGACATTGTCGTCAAGACTCCTGTCCCAAACAGAGAGTTTCGAACTGAAGCCCCGCCACTAATCAGCCCTCTAAGAGTTTAGATACAAATGTTCCTATTGACTACTTGATTCAGTAGTATATCAAGTTTAAAAGCAAACAACAGATTTTACGAAATTTTTCACATACAACTGTTAGCTTGACGTATGAATCAATGTGGCTATGCCCGAGGAATAGTTTATATGTCACTGGTTAGAATCCCACCGGATATATTGAAACGACAAGACGATGCTAAATCAACAGTCCTGTCCGATTTTAAACTAAATTACGTCGCGCTATATCTTCCAAACTCCCTTATTTTTCGGTGTGGACTATCTTTCTAACTTCGCGTAAGCCCCATCTGCATTTACCAAAGGATTCAGACAATTTGCTAGTCGGTATTTTAGTTGAATTAGATAAATAGCATGACGTTTTAGGCAAAATTGGCCTCGAACTACCATTTTTCATGCACATCTAGCCTGGACTTCTGTTTCAGACTTGCATCATCACCTATCAGCACCCACAGCTGGACTTGAGCTGAAGAAGTTTCTCCCTAATCCATATCATTACACTAGGAAACCAGCGTTAACCCCTATACTTTATCAAAAATGGACATCTTCACTTTTGAATGTGTATTGGCCTTGACATTAGTACCTCTACCAAACAAATTGAGGATTGAATAGGTATGTATAGAAGCTTTTTGGGAGGAGGAAGGGATGGGATACTTATCACGGAAGATTGAAGAAAAACAAGAAAGCTTTTATTTAAATTTGGCTTTGACTGTGTACTTTTTACTGATGCCATCAAATAGAGTCATGAGTTGATTAAGCGTGATCCTTTCGTCTTCAGAATTCCAACCAACAATTCCATGGCGCAGATGCGGAACTCGAAGAGGGTGAAAATTGATTCGGATTGGATATTTTTTCATCAAATATTTTGCGGTACATCAAGATCGCCTTCTAGCTTGCGTCGGATGGTTGAATCGAATCTGTATGAAGAGTGGGATCGGGTAGATCCAAGTTTGGAATCCGGTGGGGCACTCCGGGCCAACTAGAACTCTCCGAAATCACAATTAAAGTAGTAAAAGTCAACTAGTAGACCTTGGTGACTTTAAGCGACCTTGGCTGACTAAGTTCTTGTTCACACACTACTGATATCATCAAGCCATACTTATAACGAAAACATTTCCAAGATCATCTCTAAACTCTATTCATACACATTTTTTCTGTTGATCTAACTCTCCTAACTCTCTCCTTCTTGCATAGTCACAAACCGTTGTCACCCTCCATCTCGGAATCAAGAATGATGATCACATTCCATGGCCTGAGTGTCGATCATGAGACGGCCAAGAATGAATATGTTGAGACATTCTCCAAGCCGACCTGTGCCCGACTCAAAAACATGTCAAGCAAACTTTCACCCGTTTGCTCCGCAGCCTTGACAACCACTCTGGCCTCTATTGTTCCCCTCCGCTTGGACGAAAGATCTGCCATCTCGTCTATCGCCGGTCTCAGTGGAGACGTTTTGCCCTCTTTTGAGCCCAACCGACTGACTTTGAACTTGAGACCCGGGCTGGAGTCGCCTTCTCTACTCGACTCTATCCTCACGACGTCTGAGGTTTTGGATACCGGCAGCGGCGGAGTCGATAAAACCGAGCCATCCAGCGGTCGAAAGCTCTGTCCCGGGACTCGGGCCAGTATCGCTTCGGAGAAGTCGGGTACCACAGATCCGATCCCCTTAGTCAACGCAAAAGCGACCCCAACAACCCTAAGGACAACCATGAATGCAGGAACCAAGACAATATCGGCAACCAATATGGCGGCCGCGGCGTTTGCCAAAATATTGCTGTCCGGAAAGTCGGCGTCGACCGCCAGATTGGCTTCCCTTGGGCAGTCTGGTAGCGGAAGAGGATGCCCCAACGACAGCATCGTCCGAAAATCACGACCTGGTCCGTCCATACCTCGAGGCATCATTGACTCAAATTCAATCGCGGAGGCCTCACCATCGAGGCAAAAAACAGGTGAGTGTGTAAAATGGCTGCATGAAGATGCTCCCATCTTTTTAAGACAGACATGGCTTTCTTGGCTTTCCTTGAGTATTATCAGTTTCCACTATCTTCCTGTTCGACTGGCAGCGAGTTTTTCCGTGAAGACGTGAAGAAAATGAATTCCCTTTTGTCAATTTGACCTTGCCTTCTGTCCAGCGAAATGCAATCCGGGGATGTACACATGACAACATAGCCGCAATCTTGTATAAAGAGTTTAAGAGGACATGGTTGTGGAGACTTCCTTTTGTGCAAAAGTGAATAATGAGGAGATTCGTTGGTTGATTTCACCTAAAGATGACGGCTGTTTCAAATTAATTTTACTCCATGTTTGGCAATAATACGACATTCAGGTTGCAAGATAAAAAGATCTTTTTTCATGTAGTTACTCATGTTGATTTTCTTAAGTTAAAAGATATAGCTGGTGGTATGGGAGAGGCATATTCATGATAAGAAATGAAGCATTTTGACATTAGAATCAAATCGAGGGATCTTACATCTAATGGTGATTTTAGCAAATTCCGCAACGATAGGGTATTGTTGTAAGCACTTTCGTTTCGTGCAAGATAGACTAATGAAGAGACTCGTTGGTTGATCTTACAGGAAGGAGACGAAGGATTCAAGTTTTTCTGCAATCGCTTTCGGCTCTAGCACGACCTTCAGGTCGACGCAGTCTACGAGATATGCTTCCTCGTTTCGGGTGAAAACGAACACCATCAAAGCTGTAAATTGTTCCTGTAAAAGTCTAAGGTTAAAAATAAGTCAAGACATCTCTTCTGCTCTATCCAGCATATTAAATGTGCTCATAACGATGGATTTAGAAACCAAATCATGCTATAT